GGGAGAGAAAACCATCGATGTGAGAGACTGATCAGCTGCCTCCGTACTGGCCCCGGCGGGGATGGAGCCCTCAGCCTTCAGGGTGTGGGCGACGCTCCAGCCAGCTGAGCCGCGGGCTGGGCCTCCTCTCTCCCGACTCTTACCCTTCCTCGTTCTCTCATAATAGAAGGGGTGCAGACAAAGCGTATCCCACGCCTGCCCGGGCGCCTCTGGTGGAAGTGAAACGCTCCCTCGCAGAGCGGTTCGCGTGGGCGCTGTGGAGGACCTCCCGGCCCGGGCGGAGAGACCAGCAGACCCGCATTGCTCTCCGTCTTTGGCCGCGAAAGCTCCGAGGGGGGGAGCAGTGTAACTTCAGGGTCTTTCCCGATGCCTTTCCCTGCGTCCGCTTTCCACGTTTATTGCAGGTCAGAGATCTGCCACATATTTTTAAACAGCATAAAAGGGTCCTTTGGTCACCCACCCCCCTATTTCAGGTTTGTGCTGTGGCATTTCCCGACTCCCGACACCAGTCTCTGTGTTTGTGAGGGCCCGAGTTAAAATGTCGTAAGAGACCCCAAAATACAGCGGGGGCTTTAACAAGACGACTTTTCTCTCGTGTAATGTACCTGAGAGCGGGAGGTCCCAGCTGCTGGGGCGGCTGTGCTCCCGCGGTGGTTTGGGACCCAGGGTCCTTCCGCCTTGTGTCTGCGCTCCCCGAGCGTGTTGCTCTCACCTGCGGTACCGCAGCCGGGGCGCTGGCGTGTCCTTGTTCCAGCGCACAGGAAAGGGGGACATAGCTTGGTCCTTTCAGGGGAGGTAGAAGCTGCGCCGTCCCTTCTGGTCATTTTCTGTTGGTGAGAACTCGCTAGGCTTGGCTGCAAAAACGTTGGGGAATATGGTCTATATAGCTGTGCAGTTAGGCGGCCAACTTAAAACTTGAATATTTGAGCACGTGAGTGTGGGTTTTGTCCTTTGTCCACTTTTCTTTTTTGAAGATACATTTTTTATTGATTTCAGAGAGCGGAAGGGAGAGGGGGAGAGAGAATAAACATAAGCGATGCGGCTGATCGTGTGCACAGACTGTGTTAGTGAAGCGCGGCTGTTGCTCTTCATGATGCTTCATGATGCGCTCCGCTCTGTAACCTGCAGATGCAACAATGACTCTTCTCCTGTTGCCCCTGCAGCAGAGATCAAAGAACAGTCTGCCGAGGAGGACGCCGAGGCCGAGGCGGACGGCAGGGACGGCGGCAAGCGGCCAGCGCCCGCCCTGCAGCGCTCCGTGTCCGAGGAGTCCGCCAGCTCCCTGGTCTCCGTCGGCGTCGAGGCCAGAATCAGGTGAGGGGCTGATGGGGAACGCGGAGCCGGGCTTGGGACGGGCGGGTGGTTTTGTTACTTAGTAGCTGTGAGTCCCAGGCCGAGAGCCCAGCTGGGACGGGAAGGGTGGTTTTGTTACTTAGTAGCTGTGAGTCCCAGGCCCAGAGCCCAGCTGGGAGGCTCGGGTGGTTTTGTTACTTAGTAGCTGTGAGTCGGAGGCCGGTTCCCCTGTGTGGTTGGGGGAGGGGCGCCTGTGGGCTCAGGGGTACCACCGGGGGACCCTCAGAGCGGAACAGGGCAGCTGTCCCCAGTGTGCTTGTCCTGCCGGATGAAGCACCTGAGCTTTCGGCATGAGGATGGTTCTCCTAGTTACCTGCGAACTTGAGTTTGTACCTTTGTAACTTACGGTCTTTATTCTTTGAAAGAGCAATACAGGACGTCGTAGCCTAACTGTGTGTAGTTCAGCTTTGAAGTCTTTTTTTATTTTTATTTTTTACTTTATTTGGAAGCCGCTAACAGAGCTCTGAAGTCACGCCTCAGCCAGCGCTCCGCTCTCCTTCAAGCGTCTCCTTTCACTTGCTGTGGCCACACCTCCCTCGCTTCCAGTCTTTGCCTGGTTCCTGCCCAGACTCCGACCTTTATAACCCTGGAGGCCTCCGGCCTCGGCGCACCCACTTTTACCTCTGCTCACTCCCTGGAGATGTCCACACTTATATTCCCAGGGCCGATTTCCTCCTAACCTCACACTTTCCTACCCAGCTGTCTGCTTGACATCTCCTTTTCGAATGTGCTAGACACCCACCTGGACGTACCCAAAATCACTTTTGTTTTTACCCCTCCCCTGGCCCAGATCTCCTCCCAGAGTTCTCCACTTCAGTAAGTAATGCCCACATTCACCCAGTGGCTTAGGTCAAAAACTTTTGCATTCACCCTCGATTGCTACTTTTCTCGCACCTCACGCGCTCAGTCCTGTAGCTCAACTTTAGAAGGTGCCTCCGCCAGTCCCTGTCCTCTGCATTTGCCCGCCGACCGCCGTGGTTCCAGCCCAGTACTTTTCAGAGCCCAGAGTAGCCTTTCAGCCTGTTTCTTTGCTGCTTCGCTTTACTCTCTACATCCCAGGTTCTCAGCACAGTTGCAAAGCGCATCCTAAACCCAGCCAGCTCCACCCCGACTCTCTGGCGGCGGTCACATTTATATTATGCGTCAAGTCCATTCCGTGTCCTACAGGTTGCTCTGAGCCTGGCTGCCTCTCCAGCTTCATTATTACTTCCTGTGCTCCTGTCACGTGGCCGCCTCGCCCCTGACACGTGGGCCGTGTTTCCCGTGGCCCTCCTCCCCCAGCC